CATCCAGGATTATGGGTCCCCCCCCCCCCCCCCCTTGGCCCCAAACGTAACCTCCCCCCACCCCCCACCCTCCCCCCCTCTTCGAACTGCCGTGCCCCTCGAAAATTCTCCTCTTCAGCACAAGGAGACTAAGAAGGCCGACCCTCTAACGTTGATGACCATGTGCTTCAAGGAGGTCGGGGCTGTCTCGAGTGCTCGCCCCATTCTGGACAGCCTCGTCGTTGGCATGAGCAAGGTCAGTACTACGCACTGCGCCTCTTCCCGACGCCCCCCTGTTGGTTTGCGTGAAGTGGACGGTTGGTGCCTGTTGCCTTTTTATCGTGACAACCGGTGGAATGAACATGGCATTGTTTGATGGCTTTCGAAAACTCTCGTGTCGCGAGAATTAGTTGACAGTCTCCGGTACCACGTCACGGAATAGCGCTTGACTTGCCTCCGATCAACCAAGCATGTTATTTCTGTTGTTGTTGTTGTTGCTGCTGTTGTTGTTGTTCCGGTTCGAGAAAAGGTCTGACATAGATACCTGTCCCGTGGTACCTTTTGTTTGGAGTTGGGAAAGGGGGCCTGGTCGTTGCTTACGCTACGATTGAGCTTGTCGCTAGGATTACGTGGGGCGAAATTCTAGCCCCGTGGTTGGTCACCGGCCAGGCGCAGAACGCGCGCCAGACGGAATAAACAATTATGACACGACATGACACGACATGAGGGTGTGCCAGCCCCAAGGGGGATTGATTGCTCAATGACGAAAGATACGTCGGGCGGACTGTAAAAAACGCCTCCTAGCCATGCCCCTCCCCCCGCTGCGAAGCGGGAGAAGTGGGTAGGGCGCGGGGGCGCACTTGAGGACGCGACGCTGTACAAAAGATTGCCGAGAGCTACCCTACCCGCTTGTGCTTATTGTAACCCTGCATGATGGTCACCGGGCTTCTTGTTTGTTAGAAGCCGGTGTTAGTGTCGATGGTGAACCCGTGTTTTTTTTTTCAGTCTCTTGTGCTGGGAGAGCTTCTTTGTTGGCATTGTTTATCTGGGGGTGGGGTGCGGGGTGGGGTGGTATTGGCATTTGTTAAAGGCGTCGTTGTTTTAAGGGTGACGATTGGTTTGCTGCTCCTGTGTTGGTGCTTAGTAGTGGTCCCCCGGTGAGACTCATCCCGCATTGCCGATGCACGGTGCATGACGAGTTATCGCCATGCGCAGGTGGAACGTACCTGTGTCCACTTCCCTTGTCCCGGCACAAACCGGCATCCAACAATGGACAACTATGCTGCTGTGTCGCAGACGGCGCGCGTGTTTTTGTGCGTGCCCCCCCCGCAAAACGCACCCGATCAATCATGTCTTTTCTTTTCTTTTTTTTGCTTGCAGGCGACCCAGCAGATTGTCCTGTTCCAGAACAACATGGAAGAGGCGTGCCTCGACGTCAACCCCATCTTCCTGGAGGTGAGCAGCACACATGGGCCCGGTCTTTGTATCTCACGATGCTTCGAAACATCTTTTTGCTTGAGAGGGTACCTTTCGTCCTTCCTCGCTACACCTCGATCCTGATCATTTCGTGGCGGGTTCTAGAATGCATGTGGCAGCGTTTCATTGACCTCGCCGTTTCTTATCCTCATATATTTTGGTTTGTTGATGGTCGATTTAATCGCTGACTTTTTGCTTGGGTCGGTTCTCGATTTATTCGGTCGAGTTGTTGGTTATTGAACGTGTTCGTGAGTTATTTTTGGTCCCCCTCGGGTTGAAAACTGGATGTACTTAGCAGCATGTAACACCGGCACCAAAAGAGCGGAGTTGCCATTGGTATTGTTCCTGCTGCTTTAGTTGTGTAGCAGGGGTGCGTCAAGAGTGGTTCTTGTACTGGTCCATTGGTTGTACCCCCGCCTTTCGAAGTAGACAAAGTTAAGCCCTTGCCGGATTCAATTTGATACACGGTGCCCCGTAGGAACACGGGGAGCTGCAGCTCCGGAGCGATCTGTTGGACTGTCACGTGGACGTGTGCTCTCCTGAGGTGCTGGTGCAGCTGTCAGACAATTTCGACTACCAGGTGCGGCCGACAAATTTTGCGGCAGGAACCGCAACGGCTACTACTGCTGTTGTATTTCGTAGTCTTGCGGAAGGTACCGTAACAGCTACTGCTGTGTTCCATGGTTTTCCGGAACGTACCGTAACAAGCATTGCCGTGTTTTGCGGAAGAAACCGTCTGTAGTTCGTGGATTTCCCATGGTTTGATTTGAGGTTCTCAGGTATGTACCGTGGTATGCTTTGTCGTGAGCGGTGGTGCGGGGCGTTGTGCCCTGAGTACGAATGTCTTGGGGCTACGGGTATGAGAGGCGGTCAACGGATGTGCGTGTTCGTGTATCACGAAACCTGTGACGACGTACATGGAATGCCGCATCAGTTTTGTGACCGGCCGTGTGGCCCCCCGTTGGCTGCTCTCTTTCTTTCTCTCGTGCAAAGTCTCTTAACATGTGTGTACCTTGTTATTTTTTTGGCAGGACATTCGGCAGCACTTCGTGGCGTACGAGGCCGCCAATCACGAGCTCGGCAACAAGATCCTGGCCCACGTCGTGCCTGACGCGTAAGAAAACATCGTATTTTACCCGTATCCCCAAACAAACAAACGTTATCGTACTTAGCCCCAAAGAAAGAGAGCGTATTTTGATTGTATTTATGCCCAAAGAAAACTCTCATTCATGGTTGAATTTATCCCCAAAGAGCTTTAGTTTTGATATTTCTTTGCCGGAAAGAAAAACGTACCTTGGTTGTACTTATTCCCAAAGAGATTACTACTACGAGTGCACGTTGAGATGTGTATAAATTATTCCATTTGTATTTCTCTTGCAAGGGTGCGTCGTGCGTGCAGCTTCAAGACGAACGGCCTAACATCGCGTCACCATGCGGCTATCTGTAACTCTTGTCTTATTCTTCCTTCTCTTCTCTTCTCCGATCACCCCAAAAAATTGTGTCGCCATGCGCCGACAACTCTTATCCTATTTTTCGCTCGTCTTGTTCGGGCCTCTGGGGGGGCGATGACGGTGCGGCGCAACAACGTGCGGCGCAAAACATATGCGGCACGAAAACATGCGGCGCAATTACATGCGGCGCAATCACGCAGGGGCGCCTCCTTCGCTGTCCGAGTGCACGACTTCCGCCTCTACCACGAGGTCTGCCGGGACGTGATCCTGAGGTGGATGTATCCCCTGGTGCCGGACAATGCCACCACGGGGGGGGTGCAAACCCAGTACACGTACTCGAGGGTCTGCAACTACAAGGCGCCGGGCGTGAACCTTCCGCGATCCGTCAGGTGTGCGTGTGTGTATTGTATCGCTGCGGTGGCCGATGTGTGTTGCTGGTGGTGTTGTTGATGATGTTGCCGCCGTTGTTGTTGTTGGTGTTGTTGTTGTTTGTTGTTGTTCTTGTTGGTGTGTTTGGTTGTCCTGACGTTGAAAGACACTCGGTCTGATCAACGTTTGTGCCGACACACTTGGTGGCAAAGCCTGTCATGTGCCTTTGTGCCATGGCGGAAAGGGTTTGTGCCTTTTGTCATGGGTATCCCGCGGAGGTCTTTGTCCCATCTGCCGACCCCCGATTTTCCTGCTGAGCAAGAGCATTACGTGTGTAAGGTTTTTTTGTATGTAAACGTTTTTTCATTTGTGAAATTTAAATTTTTGTTTGTGTAAATCACGGTTCTTGTGCGTTCACGGACTTGTTCGCGTACGTCCACGAACAACATTCACACGTCCTCGAGAGGATGGAAAGTAAGAGAGGCCACCCCCATCAAGCCGCAAAAAATTACTTCAAACTGTCATCATCACCACCACAACATGAACCGCTCATCCCCAACCTTGGCGCCTCCTTAGGCTCGGCAACGGGGTGGTGATCGGCGCGGACGTGACGGTGGGGGAGAACACCGTCATCGAGCGCAGCGTCATAGGGGACGGGTGCCGAATAGGACAGGGGGTCACCCTCGTGGACTCGTACATGTGGGCGGGCTCCGAGGTGGGCGACGGGGCGAGGGTGGAGGGGGCGATCGTGGCTTCGCGCGCGATGACCAAGACGCCTGCCGGTGAGAAATATAAAGGGGGCACCGTATGATGAGGGGGGGGGGGGTACATTTCTTCGTTGTTTCGATCCTTTGACCAAGCATTGATTTTCAGACATGCCTTTTTGTCTTGGTAGGAGCCACCGCCGATATTGGGCGCTCTTTGCGTGTCGGCATGGGAATATATCTGCTTGACTCCCGGGAGGGAGGGGGG